TGCCTCAGCCTCCTGAATAGCTGGGATTACAGGCACATGCCACCACGCCCATCTAATTTTTTGTGTATTTTTAGTAGAGATAGAGTTCAGGCTGGTCTCGAACTCCTAACCTCGTGGTTCACCCACCTCAGCCTCCCAAAGTGCTGGGATTACAAGTGTGAGCCACCGTGCCCAGCTCTAAATTTGTAAGTTTTAATGTCCTTTTTTGTGTACATGGAATTTTGACTTGAAGTACATTTTTAAAATGTGACAATTTTTGACTTAAGATATATAATATTGCATATTATTTTGCATAATATTATTTTGATTTCCTCTGCTCTCAGTGATTAGTATTTGCATTAAATGTCTACTTCCATCTTGCCCCTTTCAGTGTTTTTTTTTTTTAATCAGTTGATCTCAATTGTCTTTTGTCGAAAAAAAAAGGGATCTTGGTTTTTAAACTTATAATAAATTTATGTATTGAAAGTATGTCTCTTAATTTGAAAGTTAATCTTATATATGTATTTAAATAATTTTCTGAAAGTGAAAGACAATGTTATAATTATTTTATTGGATTCTTACATCTTTCTTTTGTCTTTACTCTGTCTTGTTTTGTGTCTATTGATATGATTTTACTTATCTAATTTCCTTTTTTGTGCCTGTACAATTTTCTTTTTCTTTTAATGGTATCTTGGGGGCTACATAAAACCTATATGAAAACAACCAGCATATTTTTAATTTGGTACAAAATAAATCTCAGTTGAATAAAATTTTTCTTCCATCTGCCTTGACATTTGTCATTGATGTTGGTAATTATGTTTTTACCAACATAATTGTATATTCGCTAACAGATGTTTCTGTTTTTTGTGATTTTATTTTTAAAATATTAGAGAATAATTTGAAATGTTTTCTGTATCATTATGTAATACCACAAGATTCTGTTTTCGTGTATATGCATATCTTTCACAAAAAATAATGTATATATATTTGATTATGTGTTGTTTTCTCGAATTGCCTTACTTTAATTGCTTTTAGCACCTTTTATGTGTCAGAAATTTGGAACATGCAGTGCCTGTATACTTTTTGAAAATTCAGTTGTTTCAGAAAGTTGATTTTTGAGACAGAGTTTATCTCTGTCACCAGACTGGAGTGCAGTGGCATGGTCTTTGTTCACTGCAGCCTGCACTTCCCAGGTTCAAGTGATTCTCCTGTCTCTGCCTCACACATAGCTGCCATTACAGGCATGTATCTGCATGCTCAACTAATTTTGTATTTTTAGTAGAGACTGGGTTTTACTATACCACCCAGACTGGTCTCAGGTGTCTGGCCTTAGGTGATCCACCCACCTCGGCTTCCCAAAGTGCTAGGATTACATCTGTGAACCACCACATTCAGCCTATTTATGTTTCTTCTTAATAACTAATAATCACTTTTTACAATGGTTTTGTGTCTGTGGTACCACAGTCTTTCTGTTGCTACAGAACTTACCTTCTGTCTCAGCAGACTCAAATTGTCATTTGAAAGAATACCACTATTTCAGAATCTGAGGTAATGAGAGACAGCAACTGGTGTCTGTAAAATACTGTATGATTCAGAAATAAAAATGTATAAGGCAGCATTTTACTTGTTATTTAAGAAAGAAACCAGCAGTTGGCAATTTATTTCAAGTCACTATGTGATATTGGGAAGCAGGAAGATCTGTGTTGGGTAAATATAAGAGGCTTGTTCTATGTGTCTCTTTGCATTAAGATCACCTGGGGCATTGCACATGATTTAATTTTTTGCAAATGTAATTCAGTCTGTATGTTTTTATTACCTTTATATGTCTTTGTAAAAATTTAAGCCTGTAAAATTTTGCTATGCCACCTTGTGATGTAGTTTGTATAGGTAAGACTTGTGTATTAATCTGAGTCGAGTAAGTTGAATAATTTGTTTATTTATTTATTATTTTTCTCTCAGTTGCATCTTCTTATTTTGCCCAAGATCTCTGGCCAAAGCAGGGCATAAAAAATCATTTCCAAAAAGTGATACTGAGAAGATATAAAAAATGTGGACATGAAAATGTACAGTTAAGAAAATGTCAAAGCGCGAATGAGTGTAAGGTGCACAAAGAATATTCCAACGGACTTAACCAGGTTTTGACAACTACCCAGAGCAAAAGATTTCAATGCAACAAATTTGTGAAAGTCTTCCATAAATATTCAAATTCAAACAGACATAAGATAAGACAAAGTGAAAAGGAACCTTTGAAATGTAAAGAATGTAATATGTCATTTTGCACACTTTCACATTTAGCTGAACATAAAAGAATTTATACCAGAGAACGACCCTACAAATTAAAAATATGTGGCAACGCCTATAATCAGGCCTCAAACCTTTCTACATATAAAAAAATTTATACTGGAAAGAAACCCTACAAATATGAAGAATGTGGACAAACCTTTAACCAGTTCTTACACCTCACTACACATAAGAAAATTCATACTGGAGAGAAAACCCACAAATGTGAGGAATGTGGCAAAACTTTTAACCACTTCTCAACCCTTACTAGACATAAGATCATTCACACTGAAGAGAAACCCTACAAATGTGAGGTATGTGGCAAAGCTTTTAACCAATTCTCAACCCTTACTGGACATAAGATCATTCATACTGGAGAGAAACCCTACAAATGTATGGAATGTGGCAAAGCTTATAACCACTCTTCAATCCTTGCTAGACATAAGAGAATTCATACTGGAGAGAAACCCTACAAATGTGAGGAATGTGACAAAGCTTTTAGCCGTTCTTCAATCCTTACTAGACATAAGAGAATCCATACTGGAGAGAAATCCTACACATGTGAAGAATGTGGCAAATCTTTTAGGTGGCACTCAGGCTTTAGTAGACATAAGAAGATTCATACTGGAGAGAAATCGTACACATGTGAAGAATGTGGCAAATCTTTTACGTGGCACTCAGGCTTTAGTAGACATAAGAAGATTCATACTGGAGAGAAATCCTACACATGTGAAGAATGTGGCAAATCTTTTAGGTGTTCCTCAACTCTTACTACACATAAGAGAATCCATACTGGAGACAAACCCTACAAATGTGAGGAATGTGGCAAAGCTTTTACCCACTCCCCAAGCCTTACTTATCATAAGAGAAATCATATTGTAGAGAAACTCTACAAATATGAAGAATGTGGAAAAACCTCTTATCGATTCTCACACCTTACTACACATAAGGGAATTCATACTGGAGGGAAACCCTACAAATGTGAAGAATGTGGCAAAGCTTTTAACCATTCCTCGATCCTTAGGGGACATAAGATCATTCATACTGGAGGGAAACCCTACAAATGTGACGAATGTGGCAAAGCTTTTAACCGCTCTTCAAACCTTGCTAGACATAAGAGAAATCATACTGGAGAGAAACCCTACAAATGTGAGGAGTGTGGCAAAGCTTTTAACCACACCTCAATCCTCAATAGACATAAGAGAATTCATACTGGAGAGAAACCCTACAAATGTGAAGAATGTGGAAAAACCTTTAACCAATTCTCACACCTTGCTAGACATAAGATAATTCATACTAGATAGAAACTCTACAAATGTGAGGAATGTGGCAAAGCTTTTAACCCCTCCTAAACTCTTACAAAACATTAGAGAATTCATACTGGAGAGAAACCCCAGAAATGTGAGGAACGTGAAGAAGCTTTTAATGAATCTTGAAAACTTACTACACATAAGAGAATCTGTACTGGAGAGAAACTCTGCAAATGTGAAGAATATGACATAGCCTTTAGCCAGTCCTGAAATCTTACTAGACCTAAGATAAGTCATAAGGAAGAGAAACCCCAAAAGTGTGAAGAATGTGGCAAAGCCTTCAACTAGTCCTCAACTCTTAACAGACATTATATGATTCATACTGGAGAGAAACTCTAGAAACCCGAAAGTTGTGACAATGCTTGTGACAACACTTCAAACATTTCCAAACAAAAGAAATTGTGCTTAGTGAGAAGTCATAGAAATGTGAATAATGTGAGAAAGCCTTTAAATGATTGTTACAATCGATTGTAGGTATGGTAATTCATACTGGAGAAAACTTCTACAAGTATAAATAATGTTGCAAACCTTTTAAATAATGCTCACACCTTATTGCCCAGGAAAGCATTTACACTTGAGAACAAATGTACAAATTTAATGAAAGTAAAAAAGAGGTAAATATATGCTCACAATCTTACTGTACATGAAAGAGCTTATACTTAAAAGAATTAAAAATGCAATTCTCTCAAAAGAGTCTTCAGAAAATATAAACCTTTAAAGTTCTGGAGACCATTTATTTCAAAGGCAAACATTACAAATGTAAAGAGAGTTGTAGTAACTTTACTTGTAACAGACCTTGTTGTGCTTCTTTTGTATTAGAGGCAAACCCTGAAGCAATTGCTCAAACTTTGTTCAGCATCAGAGAATTCTGCAAATGTAATATATTTGGGAAAGAAAGACATTAATAGCTAGAGAAACTCAGAGTGTTCATAGTAAAAAAATATTTTTTTGCAGACTAAATAGAAAAAGATTATTTAACGCAAAACGAAGTCTATTGAAATAATTAGAATTAGAAATGTATAAGGCACTGACACTTCAGACTTTACACTAAAGCAGTGTACTGTGTCTACAAAATAAAGCAAGTTGGTAGAAAAATTATTTGTATGCAACTTGAAAAGAGTAGAAAATTTTTTGGAGATTTATAATTACAAGTGTACTTTGTTTTGGCAAGATTACAGATTTTTTTTAAGGTAAATAATGAAACTAACTGTACTTCATACTAGTAATGTTGTAATTAACTCTCAAATTACTTCAGGGTAAAACAATTATTATTTTTTAGTTTTTTGCAACTTTGTCACCCAGGCTGTGGTGCAGTGTTATGACCTTGACTCACCGCAGCCTCCAACTCCTGGGTTTAAGTGATTCTACTGCCTCAGCCTCCCAAGTAGCTGGGAGTACAGGCACATAACCCCACACACAGCTATGTTTTATAATTTTAGTAGGGATGGAGTGTTGACATGTTGGCCAGGCTGTTCTCAAATTCATGACCTCAAGTGATCCACCCAGCTCAGCATTCCAGCGTGCTGGGATTATAGCTATTAGTCACTGTGCCAGGCCCATTCTGTTTCTTTATTCCTATTATATTTATACATAAAAGCATGTGACCAATTGTTGTTATATGAAAGATATGAGAAATTGTTTTTATTAGGTGAGCATTTATTATGTCTTTTATGAAAGAATAAGGATATTAAGTTGTAAGATGCATGAGGAAAATCTAAATAAAATGGTTCTTTGTGGCTAACTTACAATATTGAGTGATGTATGAGATAAGTGTTCATAGTAGTATTCTTGTGCATTGCATTAAGAGACAAATATTTTTAGTTTTAGTTAAAATTAAATTGGCCGGGCACAGTGGCTCACATTGGTAATTGCAGCGCTTTGGGGGGCTGATGTGGGGGAATTACTAGGTCTGGAGTTTGAGACCAGCCTGGCCAATATGGTGTAACTCCATCTTTACTAAAAATACAAAAATTTGCCAGGGGTGGTTGTACATACCTGAAGTCCCAGCTACTCAGGAGGCTGAGGAAGAAGAATTGCTGGAACCCAGGAGGTGGAGGTTGCAGTAAGCCAAGATTGTGCCACTGCACTCCAGATTGGGTGACAGAATGAGACTCCATTTCAAAAAAAAATTAAATTGGCAGTATATTATTTTACTAATTGTACTTTCATGAAACAAAATGTAGCACATTTTTAAAATTTAAGATTATGTATAAACTTAATTTCTTCAACGTTTCACATGTCAAATATTGTACATTAAATTAAGTCTTGTTATTCCAATTTCTTTAACCTAGTCCCCTTTACTCAAGTGTGTCGGTGTAAGATGGTAAGATGATGGACTAACATCTCTAATCTTTTTGCCAATGGCTTAAAACTTCAAATAAGTTAAGGAATATTGTTTCCACAGATAATAGTTTTCTTTTTTTTTTAATATCTTTAAATTTATTTCTGTTAATTTTTGTGGGTACATAATATTTATGTTGTATATACATACTCTGATAAAGGTAATACAATATATAAGTGAGGTATTCGTCACCTCTAGAACTTATTTTTTGCATTACAACCAATTCATTTCTACAGTTTTAGTTATTTGAAAATGTACAATTAAAATGTTATTGACTATGAAATCATTTCTGTAATAGTAAAAATTATATACAGTTATAAATAAAATTTACACATATCTGAGTCCTGAATAAATACCTTTCAAAATTTATTATATCTTTTTCTTTGAATACGTGGCCTGTATGCTTGCAAGCACACCGACTTTTAGTTTTGATTTGTGTAGAGTTAAACATACACATATATTAGTCTAAATATAAACTGTTGGTGTAAACAAATTATGAATTGTGTTTGAGGATGAGTTTATAAGTATTTTCAGAAGAAAATATCAATATTGAAAGAAAAATAATTTTAATAAGGTGTCTAATTTTGTTTCTTTCTTTCTTTCTTTTTTTTTTTTTTTTTTTTTTTTTATTTTTTTTTTTTTTTTTTTTTTTTTTTTTGAGACAGTCTTACTCTATTGCCCAGGCTGGAGTGCAGTGGTGTGATGTCAGCTGGCTATACCCTCCCCCTCCCGGATTCAAGCAATTCCCCTTTCTGAGGCTCTCCAGCAGCTGAGATTACAGGTGTGAGCCACCACACCTAGCTAATTTCTGTATTTTTGGTACAGATGGTGTTTCACCATATTGATGAAGCTAGTCTTGAACTCCTGACCTCAAGTGAATCCACCCACCTTGGCTTCCCAAAGTGCCAGAATTATAGGTGTGAGTCACCAAACCCAGCCAGATGTCTGATTTTTTAGAAAACAAAAATACTCAAAAATGCTGAATGCAAATATTTACTTTCTTCCTCTTTTTTTTTTTTTTTTTTTTTTTTTAAATCAGTTCCCGTAGAGACTGCCAAAAATTGCCAGTGCTGGCTAAATTTCACCTCGTCCTAGTGGGATATTGGGAAAAGTTTTCAATTCCATTAATCGCGCCTTCATAAACTGCATTTACTATGATACTGCCATGGTGCAAAGCTGCAAATCTATACTTTCTAGTTTGCATTGAATTTATTACTGTAATATATTATGGCTTATGGTTCAGAATATTCTCATACAAATTATCTGTTTTTACTTGCCTGATACTTATGTTAGACCCATGAATTTCTTGCTTATTATATATATTTTGTTTCATAGTTTACAAAGTACTAAGTTTGTGAGCTGCTCTGTGATTATAAAAGTGATTTTAGTGAAATTTAATCATGGGCCAGACAGTGGCTCACACCTGTAATCCCAGCACTTTGGGAGGCCGAGGTGGATATATCAGCTAAGGTCAGGATTTTGAGATCAGCCTGGCCAAAATGGTGAAACCCCATCTCTACTGAAAATACAAAAATTAGTGAGGCGTGGTGGTGCACAACAGTAATGTCAGCTGTTGGGGTGGGTGAGGCAGGAGAATAGCTTTAACCTGGGAGATGGAGTTTGCAGTGAGCCAAGATTGCACCACTGCACTCCAGGCTGGGTGACAGAGGAAGATTCTTTCTGAAAAAAAGAAAGAAAAAGAAAAAAAATGTAGTTATGCACACAAAATAATTTTAGCTGTAATTCCAAAATTAGTGTATTAAATTTTATTTAGTTGGAACATTCAATTTTGTTCTTATATTTGGAGAACCCTATATAAGCCTACCTTTCCTAAGTTACTATTTTTTTCACTTTTTATAATGGACATGAGTAAATGTATTTATTGATTGGGTCAGTTTGTTTAGTTAAGTACTAAGGAAGCTTCATAAGCCATGAGAATGTTTTTACAATAAGTGTAGCAGTGCTTGCTGTGTAACTCATGCTCCATAATAAGGCATGAATTTGTCTAAGTTAGTTTGTAACTTCACGTTAGAGGTAGAAAATATCAAAGGTAAACAAATAAGTTTTGATTTTTCATGTGGAGAGGACTTTTTTTCCAGGCTGCAAAGCTGAATTTTGCTGAATTTAGAAAGAAATTCAGCTGTATTTATTTCCTAATTAAGTTTTGTTTGTCATTTTATGTGTATTCCAGCCGTGTATACATCATAGCCCTTCTTCTTTTTCTGGTTATGGCTACAGTTTTTCCACTGTTTTCTTCATGCTGTGTCATTTCACATGGTGTTTTGAGGGTTTTGATCAGAACTTTGGTGTTTTCTAATGCCCTGAAAAACTGGTTTCAACTGGAGAGTGTGCTTATAAATATAACTTTCAGATCATTTAAGATAAAAGCATACACTGTCCACAGGTGAGAGGGGTAAATCAGTTAGCATGGTGCTTCATTGCTTGTAAAAAGAAAGGCTTTTGGTAAAGTGAGACAAATACAAAATGAGACAAATACAAAATTTGCTAGAAAATATATCATAGAAAGGAAAGCTTTGTTTTTTTTGTTTGGTTTGTTTTTTAATGGTACAGATTTTTTATTTTCTCAGAGCAGAAGTTAGGTCTAGGCCACGGCTGCCGCCCCTACCCGCTCCCCACCCCCCACCCCCCCACGCATTGCTCCCCTCTTGTCAAGAGAAGCAAAGCTCACTTCTGGGGCACACCTATCTCCAGCTGAAGGTACAAGCAAAGGCCACTGTGTAAGGAGGTAAAGCTCACCCTTACCGTCTGAAGCATCTCCAGTAAGCATATTCTGGAAAGGGCTCTGACAGGGAGCTTTCTACAAGGTCCGACGAGCTGAGGCTTGAGGCCAGGTCCAAGTGCAGGCTTCCTTCCCATCACAGCCTCTGAGCCTTCCTGGGACGGCAGCCCTTGTGCGGTATGGGGTGTTGTCTCTGATTGAAATCACTTCCAGGCCCCCTATGGTCAGACCGTTGATGGCAGACAAGCGTCCTGGCCCCAGGCCTTTCACCACAACTCGGATGTGGGTCACGCCCTTTTGTATAGCTTTCGCAGCTGCGGCTATGCCTGCTGTCTGTGCTGCGATGCCTGTGCCCTTCTTGGCATCCCAAAATCCCTCTGTGCCACAGGAAGCACGGGCAAGGGGCTGGTTACTGGCAGAGACTACCTGGATCCGTGTCTTATTGTAGGATGCTTTCATATGTGCGACTGGGATCTCCTCAATCTTCTTTCCTGCCCACCTCAGAGAGCTCTCCTCTCCTGGAATGGGAGGGTAAATGCTGAAGCTGGTGTGTCTGGGAGCTGCCGTCTTCTCTTCAACTTCCTGCTTGGGCTCAGCGTCTTGCAGCTGCTGGGCGCCTGTGTGGACGGTCCGGGCCGGAGTCCTGGCCACGATCCCAGTTGTCTGGGGCCAAGTCCGCAGGAGCCACGACCCTGCGTTTCTTACAGCCTGCATGACTTGAATTAGAAATTAAAGTTTTAAGAGAGTTTATGGTAAAGGAACGATAATAAATTATTATTTATTTTGTGTGGTTTTTTTTTTTAGACGAAGTTTTGCTCTGTCACCCAGGCTGGAGTGCAGTGGCACAATCTGGGATCTGTGCAGCCTACATCTCCCAGGTTTGAGTGATTCTTCCACATCAGCCTCCTGAGTAGCTGGAATTACAGGCACCCTCCATCATGCCTGGCTACATTTTACATTTTTTTTTTTTTTCTAGAGACAAAATTTCACCATGTTGGCCAGGCTGGTCTTGAACTCCTGACCTCAGGTTATCTGCCTGCCTCGACTTTCCAAAGTGCTGGGATTGCAGGTGTAAGCCACCACACCCAGCCTAAATTTAATTTCTTATGATATAGCACAACTCGCATTTCCAGGCAGAATCTTCTGTTTTTACATGTGAATGGTAAAGGTTGCAGAACAATAAAATGACTTCTATATATTTGGAATAATACTTTTTTTCATATTGATATTCCAATGTTGAGGAATTTCTCTTGTTTTAAAAATTTTATTTTAGTGGGTGAAAGTCTACAGTTTTATTTTTAGACATCTAAGTGTATCCTCAATTATTTTCTCTGGAAAACTTTTGAAAATCGTGGCAGCTTTTAGATTAAAATGTTTTTTGTTATTGTTCATGTAAATTAGTTTACTGTGTTCACAGAGTGGCCAGTCATGGGACCATAAGTAACACTTGCCTTCTTAGTGTCTTTCTTTCCATTACCATTAGTACCAGGAACTCCAGGTGTCCCAAGCTTAAAATAAAGGACTAAAGTACATTGGCTCTTCCCATGCACTGTGTTGGGTTTGAAACTTTCTGTCAAGCATCCAAGTTCCTATAATTATGACTGTTAAGTGATAGAAACAACATAAAGATTATTTTTATACTCTTCAGCCAAGTTTATGATAAAGACATAGACATTATTTTAAATAGTCATCTTTTTATAATGTTTTAAAAGTATAGTCTCTAACTTGAAAAATAAATGTGTATTTTTTTTTTTAATAAAACAACATTTCGAAGTATATACATATGGTCAAATGCTTAGCTCTAGGTCCAGCTAATTGTTGTACTTTTAGTAGAGATGGGGTTTCGCCATGTTGGCCAGAATGGTCTCGATCTCTTGACCCTGTGATCTGCCCACCTCTGCCTCCCAATGTGCTGGGATTACAGATGGGAGCTACCACGCCGCACCTGTTTTTAAGAATTTTTATTGATTATGTCACTGATATTTTTATTGAGGTTGCATTACATCTGTAGATGATTTTGTGTAATAGAAATATTGAATAATAATGGCAGTTTAAATTTATTTCAAAGTATAGTTACAACAGTTATGGTAGATGAAATTGTTTTTTAAATTTATTTTGAGATAGTTGTTAGTTTATAAAAATGCTACTCACAGGCCAGGAATGGTGACCCACACCTGTAATCCCAGCACTTTGGGAGGCCGAGATGGGCAGATCATGATGTCATGAATTCAAGAACAGCCTGGCCAATATGGTGAAACCCTGTCTCTAGTTAAAAATACAAAAATTAGCCCAGCGTGGTGGTGTGTGCCTGTAATCCCAGCTACTTGGAAGGCTGAGGCAGGAGAATTGCTTGAACCTAAAAGGCAGAGGTGGCAGTGAGCCAAGATCATGCCACTGCACTCCAGCCTGGGTGACAGAGCTAGACTTCATCTCAAAAAATAATAATAGTATTTATAATAAATAGTTCTAAGAAAACTGGTTAGTCTTATGCAGAAAAGAGTGGACTCCTTATCTTTCCATATAGAAAACGTAAGGCAAGATAGATTAATGACTTATCTGTGAGTCTTCAAGCTAGAAAATTCTATGAGAACACTTAGAAAGTACTCTTCTAAACACTGGCCTCTGGAATGAATTTCTGAATAACAGGTTAAAAGTGAGTGGAACAGAATAAAAATCAAACTGCATCTAATTAAACTAAAGAGCTTCTGCACAGCCAAAGAAACTATCCACAAAGGAAACAGACACTTTACGAAACAAAGTATTTCCAGAGTGCATACAAGTGATTAATATATGGAATCTATGCAAAAATCAATTTTAAAAATCAGAAAAATAATATAGATACTTCTCAAAGATATAAGAGTTGCCAATAACCATTCAAGAAATGCTTAACACCCAGTCATTAGAGAGATGTAAATCAAAATTACAAAGTAATACAATTTTGCCCCAGATAGAATGGCTGTTGTTATAAGTCACAAAATAACATGTTGACATTGTGGAGAAATAGGTTTTATTATAAATGTTGACGGGAATGCAATAAAATTTAGCTCCTGTGGAAAGCAGTTTGGGGATTTCTAAAAGAGCTGAAAATAGAGTTGTCATGTAACTCATCAGTCCTATCACTGCCCAAGGAGAATAAATTAGTTTGCCAGAAAGACACCTGCACTCACATGTTTATTGCAGCAAAATTCACAATAGCAAAAGACATAGAATTAAACAGGGTGCCTAGAAATCTTAGGCTGGATAAGGAAAATGAGGTACTTATACAGCATGCAATACTGTGCAGCCACAGAAAGAATGAAGTCACGTCCGTTGTGCAACATGAATGCAGCAGAAGGCCATTGATGTAAGCAAATTAACAGATCAGTGAAACAAATAGCCATGTTTTAACTTATATGTGGGCGGTATAAATTGGGTGCAGATGGAAACAAAGATGAAAATAAACACTAAACAGAAAAAACTAAATGTCTAAACAGATGGAAGAACAAAGGGAGACAAGAATTGGAAAACTACTTTCAGGTATCGTGATGTCCACTACTTGGGCAATGGGATTATTAAGTGTCCAAACCTCAGCACCATGCAGTTTACCTCTGCTACAAATCTGCACATGTAGTCCCTGAATCTAAAGTAGAAATAATGAGTTTTTTTGTGGTATAATGACATGTTTCTTTAGTTTTATGTTAATAGTTGGAATCAGCAGTCAAGGAGAGAATAGTCCCTAAGGCATAGGGGTAAATGTTTTTAAACCAGGTCTCCCACATTTTGTAAGCTATTTTCTCTTTAAGCTCTTGGCCTATAGTCCAAGATGTGTTTCATTCCCAAGTGTGAAGTTAAAATAGATGACTCCACATCTGTATTTTTTTAATGTATTAACTATACACTAGACTATATAGTTAATTTGTTACTCTTTTTGGTGAAAAGTGGTACGTGATTTAATCACATTTTCTTAAGAATAAACCATTTTTGAAAATATGAGGTTGTGAAAATCATACTAAATTATCGAGTTAACAAAACATTTTTTTAAAAAAAAAAAAAGCATAGAAGTTTTATGACCATAGCCCAAGAATGATGAAACAGTGAGTGGGTTAAGGCCTTGCTGCTGCGGCCATTCCATCACAGCCATTCTCATAAAAAATAATAATAGATCAAAAGGAATTTTTAGAATAATTTTTCGATTTTATCAAAGTGTTAAATTTTTATTTGCTTCATTTTTTTTCTTTTTTGAGATGGAGTTTCACTCTTGTCGCCCAGGCTGGAGTGCAATGGCACAGTCTCGGCTCACTGCAACCGCCGCCTCCCGGGTCGGCCAGGCCGGTCTCAAACTCCTGACTTCAAGTTATTTGCATGCCTCTGCCTCCAAAACTGTTAGGATAATAGGCATGAGCCACCCTGCCTGGCACAAAATTCTTATATTAAAAACATCTCCAGCAATTTAATAGGACTGAGATTTGGAAAAAGAAAACATTGTTTAGTCATCATTTATCAATAGGAGATTAAATTAGAAAAATTTAAATACATTGTACAGCAAATTAAAATTAGTTAACTTTCTCTAAACTTAATCTGATTAAAACAGGACTTCTGGGTATTTAGAAACAAAATTGGCAGAGCATGGTGGCTCATACCTGTAATCTCAGCACTTTGGGAGGCTGAGATGGGTGGACCATGAGGTCAGGAGTTCGAGACTAGCGTGGCCAACGTGGTGAAACCCCGTCTTTACTAAAAATAGAAAAATTAGCCAGTCATGGTGCCAAGCACCTGTAGTCCCAGTTACCCAGGAGGGTGAGGCAGGAGAATCGCTTAAACCTGGGAGGCAGAGGTTATAGTGAGACAAGATCATGCCACTGCACTCCAGCCTGATGGCAGAGCAAGACTTCATCTCAAACAAAAAACACCGAATTACTGATTTAAAATATTTATTTTTAACAAAGTTTTGATCTTATATATTTATAAACTAAGTGAAACCTGTTAATAGATTTGACTTTTTAAATGTTTGTGAATGTCACTGTATTAAAAAATAATTATTTAAATCTACTTTCTAAATAATTTTGATTAAAATATCTGTAACTTAGTTGAATGCCAGTATTCATATGGTATGCCAAACCACCCATTTCTTTAGTATTTTACCATTTTTGTAAAATAAGCCTGAATTTGTGAAGACATTTTTTAAGAAATCAATCTTTTCGGGCCGGGCGCGGTGGCTCAAGCCTGTAATCCCAGCACTTTGGGAGGCCGAGGCGGGTGGATCACGAGGTCAAGAGATAGAGACCATCCTGGTCAACATGGTGAAACCCCATCTCTACTAAAAGTACAAAAAATTAGCTGGGCATGGTGGCGCGTGCCTGTAATCCCAGCTACTCAGGAGGCTGAGGCAGGAGAATTGCCTGAACCCAGGAGGTGGAGGTTGCG